TTTCATAATGATATTTGAACTGTTTTCAGTGGTAACTTCTGTCTTCATGGAAGGTCGAATTGGTGATTTAGGTATTGGGAAGTCCCTAGATTCACAACAGACTTCAAAATGTTGACTAGATAAAATTAAAGATTGATATCCACACCAATTCATCTGTACGCCCTATATGGTGGAGAACTTTCTGGGATGAGTGTAGTTGAAGAATCAAAAATCTGATAAACACGTTTAATGATGAAAACTATAAAGTCCGTTAACAGGATTGATTGAGCAGTTCTTTGAAGAAATAGAGACTGTGCTGGAATCTTCAAGTAGCGTGTACATGTTGTTGCTTATCCCATCAAGCTGCAAGTGCTCTTTAAGTATCTTTTTGATCGACCATTTTGACGCTGCGGTTTTCAAGACCGACCTTGATGTCAACGCGAATAATATCGTTCCAAATAAAATCTCAGTCATCCTCCATGTATCCTTTCAACGGTATCGTTTGAAAATGGAATTATTTGGAAACTAAAAAAATTAAAGCACGTCACATTTTTTTGTACATATAAATAATTAAATATGGAATTTCGACGATTCTGAAAGATCTCCTAATCATGCAAGATGTGCTCAACCTCATCGTAGCCTTTCAATATTCAATATTGCACATAAAAGTTATAACATTTTTTAAAACTTTTTTCAATGGAAATTTAGAGAACTGTATTCCAAGAACGAATTGAGATATCATGATGAAATAAATAACATTTTGAAGCAAATTTAATACAGATTTAATGTGCCATAAACAATTTCTTATTTCCCATAAACATCGTTGTTATCATTTTTTAAATCTCTACACCAAAACCTTTTTAATAGAAATTTAGAGAACTGTATTTTAAGAACGAATTGAGATATCATGATGAAATAAGAAACATTTTGAAGTAAATTGAATGCAGATTTAGTGTGCCATAAAATTTATTATTTTCCATAAACATCGTTGTTATGATTTTTTAATCTCAACCCTATAAAAAACTTTTTTAATATAAATTTAGAGAACTATATTTCAAGAACGATTTGATATATCATGATGAAATAAGAAACAATTTGAAGCAAATTTAATACAGATTTAGTGTGCTATAAATAATTTCTTATTTTCCATAAACATCGTTGTTATCATTTTTTAAACTCATCTCTACACCAAAACGTTTTTAATAGAAATTTAGAGAACTGTTGTATTTCAAGAACGAATTGAGATATCGTGATGAAATAGCAAATTTAATACTGATTTAGTACGCCATAAATAATTTTCCATAAACATCATTTTCTCGATAATTTCTGGATTTTCTCATTATGTTTTAGTTGATTGATCTTCCTTTAATTGATCGTGTTCGAGTTAAGACATTTTTATTGATGATGAAGAAATATTTTTATTTACAAATGTTTAATATAATTTACTACTAACATTAGCATTTTTTATGTTTTAAGTGATTCACCGTGAGAAAGCTTCAGACATTCCTCAATTCGAACCCAATCCGAAAGTTTATTATCTTGATCCTTACAATGAATCCCATTGATAGTTTCTTTCACATTTATAACCAACGATTTAAAATAAATTTTAAAGAATGTAGCATAGAAAATTTCTTCTTCGAACTCAACTTTTGGCTTTAGTGCTTTGTGCCTATTTTATTTAACATGAAGAAAATTCTTTTTCGCGCTTCTCTCTTCTATAAATATAATGGATATTTGTTTGGAAATTAGAGAAGTGGGCTACGGGCGACGCCGGGTTACGTCGTCGAGGCGGCGGCGTCGCCAGAAATAGCCAGTGAGTCACCCGAACCGACACCCGACACCACGTCCTAGCCGGATCGCAACACCACGTCGACGACGTCGGAACCGCAATCTAATTCTTAACGCTTACTTGATCCCAGGCATCCATCTATCTACCTATCAAATCTATCAATAATTCATGAAACCCGAATAATTTGTCCGAATACAAAAAATATTCGTCTTCGCCAATAAATAAACAGCTAAAGATGTCTTTAAAAGCCAAACGCGATTCGACGAAGGATTTAAGCCGATTAAGATTACGGGATTTTCATTATTGATTCTGCTCTGTAGCCTTCACAAATGTAATTGCTTATCTAAAAACTACTAGTTTACTAATTACGAAATCTGTTCCATTAGGAAGCTTAAATGGTTATTTTAGTGGTTGCGCTTTCGTGCTGGGGCTAGTCTTCTTGAGATAAAATTTGTTCAGGTAGAATTTTTTTGTTAAGACATTTTATTTCAAAATTATAAAATAACTCCTGTTAATAAATAACTAAAATAACAAGGAAACCGTGTGTCAAAAAAAGAACAATGGACCCCCTATTAAAACTTATTAATTAGCGAACTAATCTTAATTTGCTTGATGATTTTTTTTTGTTACGGTAAAAGCTAACTAAGTTGCGCTGGTTATGAACACTTATTAAATTAGCACGTGGGATTGTTTTATGTCCTCATCATTATATTATCGTTTATATAAGCGTTAGCTTTCGAATTCTTAAAAATTAACACCCTCTTTTTCCCATAAAAAAAACTTTAAAGATAATTTTTTTCGATCCCTAACTTTAAAACTGTTCACATTGGGTTCAAAACTGTTGTTGTGTGTTTCTAGACTTGACATGTGTTCAACTTGTAAATAGAAAAATAGTTCATGAGTCGCACATCTGCTTCAAAGCGTAACAATGACCACAGGTTAAATTGTTTTATTATAACACCAACAATGATGATTCAGAATATGAGAGGATTTTTAAAACTGCTTTTGATGTATTTGAATTCAGTTGGTTTAAACATGATTTTGTGTTTATTTTCATTTATTTTTTTTTCAAGTTTTTTTTCTTAAAGTAATAACTTGGAGTATATTTATGCAGGGCGTCGAGAAAATGTGATCGGAACTACGGCTTCCGGTGGGGCTGTAATCCGAGACTGTGGGATGCATAAAGTTTACGATTTGTAGGTTTCAGTAAAAGGGGAGGGAAAAAAATTGTTTGTCGATTAAAAAAATCTAAGATGGGAAGAAGTTTCACTCAAAAATAATCTGCTTCTTTAAGTTTTCATTGTTACTAATTTTATAAAATTTTGTTTCAAGTAGTATTAAGAGATATTTCTGATATTTTATTTCAAATAAGCTTAGTATTTAAGAAGAATTAGATAAGTTACTATTGAAATATTAAAATTTCGTTCCTAATGAAGCTTTCATTTCTTTCAACTCGGAAAGTTACGCATTACTGTTCACTATGGAGTTCTTCATATCCCTGTTACTTAGAATCCTCGTGTCTTCACTAGTTTACCTAGCTACAGTAAACCACACTCCAGTATGGTTCTCGAGTAATATTGTTTTTGTACCAGCTTATGGTTTCTACAATTTTGATTTGACAAAACTTTTGATTGTTAGCTATGTTAAATTTAATGTGTCCATTGTATACTATCTAGCATTATTGGTATATATAGATAACCGAGTCCTTATAAAGTGTGATGTTATTCGCAATCGCTTCTAAAAAAAAAGTTTGGCATGAATTCAATGTAACATTATACCATTACGATCTATGTTAAATTTAAGTTGTCTAGTTATCGAATTTTCGATGTTGATGGTTCACCTGGAATAACCATGATCTTCTACACTTAGAATTCTTTTCCAGTTTTCATCGCTAGTCATAATTCGATGGAGATATGGCTAGCTTTTTTGTAGCCGGCGAGCAACATTTCGCAAGTGATTCTTCAGTTTATTTGCTCTCTTTCATTCAGTTCCTTGCAAACCCATTTTCCCATTGTCTGAATCTTACCCATAACTTTTAAACATGTGGAGATGGTTTCAGTGTCACATTTAATCGATCCGAAAGTTGTTGCATTTGTACGTCATCCTTTTCAGCAAAATTTTTCAGTGGTCATCCATGATCTTTGTGGCTCACTTCAAATCACCACGTTTGCATGTTTTGAAACGCTCAAATCACTGTGAGTAAGTTATCAAGAGAATGCTTACATTCAGTTTAAAGAACCATTTGATATGATTTTGTAGTAGTTATCTTCAATCGCAAGCCCCACCAATTTTCAAATTGTTCTCAGATAGCTAAATGGTAGACATGTACACAAAAAAATTTGATAATCTTCAGGAATTACTGATTTATGTGACACTTATTCACCACATTTTCTACAACCTCCATACTATGGTCGTTGCGCAAACTAACATTTTCAAGTAGATTACATGAGAAAGGATACATTTTTGTAACTATCTAGAATAAACAATAACGAACAGAAAATGTAGAGCCGATGGTGGCAAAGTAGAGTGGATGCAGATTTAGTTATTCTGCAATAGCACAGAGAGAAAACTATACATCCACTACGTATAAAAAAAGCTGTTTCATCTGGATCTGTAGAAGAACAAGATTGTTCAGACAGATAAATGGAAGACATACCTATACACAAAAAAATTTGCTAATCTTCAGGAATTATTGATTTATGTGACACTTATTCACCACATTTTCTACAAGGTCCATACGATGATGAGTGCGCAAACTAACATTGTATAACTTTTTTAATAAACTGTTTTTTATTCCATTCACCGCAATCTTTTATTATCCATGTTTCCCAGAAAAAAATCTTTTAATTTAGGAAATTTTACGTTTAAAAAGAAACGCAAACATTTCTTAACATATCATGAAATCAACAGGAATTATAGAGATATTTTTCAAGTCTTTAAGAAGTACAATGTAAACATAACTATGTTACGTCTAACTTCTTACCGTAAACATTTTTCTAACGATCGTTTTAAAAAGAATCGTAAAGATCGATTTTCTTAAGATATATTAATACAATCTTCAAGTATCATCTATTTATTTATTCATCTATTTTTAAGCAAAAAAATTAATGCTTGTCATAAAAACGTATAAACATAATAATTCTCAAGGTTGCAAAAGAATAAATATTTGACTTCTATTGTGTTAGAAATTTGACTCAAGAAAATAACTAAAAATTAAAATAAAAATGCTTACGTGTCTTTGTGCTCGGCAGCTCTATCTCTTTGCCGACGATTTTTAAACCAATTTGAAACTTGTGTTGTTGTTAATCCCGTCGCTTCAGCCAATTCCCTTTTTTCCCTAGGACTTGGGTAAGGATTGTGCGAGTACCAGTCTCTTAACACACTCCTCGATTTCTCTTTAAAACAATAACTCGTTTCTTCACCGTCCCATATCGTTCGTGGTAAAGGAAATTTTCTTCGTACCCGATATTTTCCAACTGCACCCAAAGGCCTACCTAAAAAGTTAATTACATCAAAAATTATAAGAATTTTTATTAATTATTTTATTAAAAATGTACCTCTTAATCTTTCAGCCTCGATGTAATGTGCTTTAAGCCATAAAGCTTGTAATTTTGAATGATTGTGCGGACTGAATGTGTGACTTTCTAAAATCCTGTATAATTCTTTAAAATTTCCTCTGTGAAAAGCAACTATCGCTTTGGCTTTTAAAACGGATTCGTTATTGTGCAATTTGTCACATGCTGGCAATGACCAAAGGAATCGTCCGAGTCTTTCAACGTTACCGGCTTGTTGAAGAACCTGTAATTGGAAAAGTTAGATAAAAAAAGCTGATTTAATAACGTGCTATTATTGTCGGGGTTATAACGTGCAAAAGAAAATTTCTATCGCAACTCAAACACTATTTCCTGTAACTCCCTTTCTCTTTAAAAGGGGCCCATAAAGATCCGAAGATTGGCAGGTTAGAATCGTTTTTTATTATTGCTTAATAAACGATGCTTGTACGCGGTCAAGTGTATACGGATAAAACCATTAAGATTATCGATTTGTTGTTTAAAGAATTTTATTAACTTTAATGGATATTTTAAGTTTCTTCTTTTTATGAAGACATATACTTCCTGGTTTGCGAGTACTTTAAGAAATTTTAAATAACTAAAAAGAGCTTTCTCTATTTTACAACGACTAATTACTTTTATTTTATGACATTTTTTTGTAAGTTTCCAATTTAAAATTATGTAAAAAAAAATTTCACCTGCTGTTAAACAATTTCGAATATTTTACAACTGTGACAAGACGAAAAACAAAGAGTGACTTTATCGTGGAATATGAATAGAGAAGGTTGTTATCATATCGTTCAGATCGGTAGACTGTCGGACCTCGAAGTCTTCATTATTCGCGGCTTGTCCCACCTTATAAAGTCGACCGTCTTTCGCGTCTGAGAGACCCACCGGGAAGATTAACATCTTTCAGCCGATCGAGTACGGTTTTCAGATCGCGTTCGCAATGTCCCGTTTAATATTAAAAAAATACATTAAGAAAATAAGGAGTAAAACGTAAAATGTTCGCCAAGATTTTAAATGAAAGCTTCTTGGTATTGTTGGAATATCTCAGAAATCGATGAATATTTATTAAGAGGATATACAAGAAAAGGGCAGACGTTGATAGAGGGGATTTCTGCAAATAAGGAGGAACGTTAAAACGGAAGTTTTTGTTATTAGTATGAGTTATGTGTTTTTGTTAGCATAAATTAAAATATTTTTTTTTGTTGTAATCTTTCAATAACAATAAGAGATTAGAAATCTAGCAGATTATTATTAAATTTGCTTTTATTATTTTTAAAGTATGTGAGAAGTTGATTCATTGAAAGATTGTTATGGAATTCTTTTAGAACATTATATTTAGTTGTTGAGTCAAATTTATGTCAAAAATATATTGAAACAAGGAAAAACAAACACAAGTGAGAAATCTTGTCAAAATATTGTTCAGAAATACTTTAAACTGCTTTTTTACTATATCAGGAAAAAATGCATGTTGAGAAACATTTCAAATTTGATTCAGAAGACTGCAACATGGCAAAATAAATAGAAGATGTAATCTTTTAATATATTTCTGAAATACGATAAGATTTTGAATATACTATGTCATACGAGATCTTCAGAAATACTTCAAATTTATGCTAGAAATAAATTGGAACATTGCAAAATAAACACAAGTGAGTAATCATCGCAGAGCATCAATCAGAAACAATCAACACATGCTAGGAAATCAACGTTTGTGCTTTTCTTAGGTTAAAAAATTCTATGGGAAAGACAGAAAGAAAGCCATAAGCCAGCTTCACCAGCTTATATCTATCGATATTATTATTATTATTATCTAAACAGGCTTGAATTTGCAATTGATGGCATTCAACTTCATCTGCATCTTATAATGTTTTCACTCTGAAGGCAGTTTCTATAATAAATTATGCCGTGGTAGTATCTCTATGCATCTATATCAGCGGATATATTTAATCTAATACTAAAAAACATACAAATATTATACTTCTAACTAAAAAGACAATATTTCAATTGCTTTCAAACTTCTTAGGAGATAAACGTTATGTAAGAGAATTGTGCACAATAAATGAAGACAATATTAATCGCAACCAGTCCTAATTTAGCTATCTTAAACTAACAACAATTCTTGGAATGCATTCGAGCCAAAAGTACAATATAGGAGCTAAAATAGTGTTATACCATCTGAACATTACTAATGCACTGCTAATAATGTAACTGATTTTGTATGGTAAAATAATTAAGTAGATTAAGTTACTCTAATGGGTAATTTTATAAAATACTGAAAAATTGTTTTGTTAGAAAATTGTTAGAGGAATTTCTCGTATTATGAATAAAAGTACTTAATTACCGATAATAATATCAAGTTAGGAAAAACTTAGAATTTTTAGACACTGATATTTAAAATTATCTTGTTACAGAATATATTTTTCAAGAATATATTTTTTCTTAGACGCAAAAATGAGAGGATAGCATTCATAAATAACAAAGTTATTAACCATCTAGATTAATTCAGCCTATACCTATATTTTCATGCAAGAATAAGATAATTCATTGTGGCTTATCCTATTTTCGAGGCTTTAATTTCTAACCCGGTAAAGATAAGACATAGTGTTCTTGCTATCTATAGAAATTAGGTATAACTATACCATAGCTATTTTATCTGTTTTTAGTCTTTTTGGCAGAAAAATGCAGATCTTTCCTACACTCGCAGTTCCTTCCATTAATTATCTCTTAGCATTTAAGATAATCTTTATGGAATGTTTGTATCTTGTTCTTAGACTGATTTGTCCTGCACTTCTTGCCCCCACTTTACTTAATCCTTCTAACAATAGCACTACTTGTAACAGTTTACCCTTACTTGGAGTTAATCAACCATGTGTCTAAAACGTTGTCGAAAACACTGCTGTGAGTTGGTTTAAAAGTATCTCTTCGTGAGTATTGTATAAAAAGTCTGGAAAGTTACGACCAAACTACGACTTTGAATCTTCTTGTCCGCCTTCATTATTTCTGAATCTTTTTTTGATGATGATTACATGGTATTATTTTATAAAAACGTTTAGACAGACCTGGAGTGAATTTAATTGATTTTTTGAATTCCACGAACGTTTTTTCGTCGAAAATCAACTTTACCTGGCAATGACAGTATAAAATCTAATCTCTTAAAACATATGCCATCGGAATATGAAAAATTTTTGCTTACAATATTTAAGATACCTCATTCTCAAGATGAATCAACATCCAGAGTCGCAGATAGATTAGGTTGAATAATCCGTGATTACCTATTTTCATTGCTTGGAATATTACAAACATTTCAATATTTCAAATACATCATGGTCCTTTTAATTGAGTTATATGTTTTTGTTCTAATGATTTTTTCTCGATGTCTTTCCGATGTGATCTTGCCTCCATATAACGTTTGTCTTTTTGTAGAATTTAGGTTGGGTTGGACTTATTGAATTGTTAGATTTCTTAGGAATTGGTTGGACTGACGATTTTAGGTCAACTCAATTTTGTATATGCAGTTAGTGCAACTAAGAACAGCTGACAGTTTATCTTCTTGTTAATGCTATAAGTTCTTTTGCCTTCTTTGTAGTTTCATCACTCGATTTTTGACAACCTGTTAGGCTGTATACATCTGAAAATAGTCCTATCAGTGAGTACAGCTAAGTACTAGTCAAAGAAACCATTTTCATTTTTAGTTGAGCCTTAAAAGGAATCTTCTACCTCGCATTTTAATGTGCCCTATTTTCCAAACATTACGCACTTGAAATGTATTTTACATCACCACATCTCAATTCAAACTTATGAGTTTAACGATTTTGTAAACAAAGTGATATCTCTACAAGATCTTGGGTAAGAGTGAAGATGTTTTGATAGCTTTCACAGATGTCTCTAAATTAGGCATCTTCAAAGACAAATAGTCAAGTAGTTTGTATAAAAAATTTTGTTTTCAAAAGTTTTCAAATTTTTTTGTTGACTTTCTTTCTCTATTAAAGCCGACCACACACATATATACACAAAGTTTTCGGTGCGATGTTTTGGAATTCCAGGTTGTAAATCATCGTTTATGAAACCGATATCAAAACGCGACGTCGGATTGTGTAACTAAAACCATACCCCGTGTAATCGGGTTACAATTTTTCCGCTTATAAACAAGCATTGGGATCCGCGTCGGACAACATTTGCTGCGTATAAAAATCGTGCCGAAACGCGATAGAAGCTATCGGAAAGCGTGGGTTGGTTGGCTTTTCTTGAAAGTCCACCATCCGTTTAGAGTTTAGACCAAACTAAGCACAAAGACGTTGATGTTATCGGTTAAAAATAAAGCCCTTAATCAGCAGTAAATAAAAAAAGTTTTTTATTTATGTTTGAATAAGAAACAAATTGTTACGTAAAATACATAAAATGAATTTGTTGAAGTTTGCAGTTGAAAATGTCAATAGGGCAGTGTCCGAAAGTTAAACTCGTGAATAACAAAGCCATAAATTTTAGTTTAGAGTTAAAGCAAACTAATTAGCGGATTAATAAATTTTTTTAGACTGTTTTGTTTGATGGAAGTAAATTGTAAAATGTTTAAAAATAAAGCCTAGCTAAATTTACTACTCCCAGATGTGAAATGATTACATAAACTTTCCTTATTGATACTGAATGACTAGTTCTGGACGCATCTGCCGCGTATAATCAACAATTACTAAAGGCAAAATGTTGGCACAGATTTGTTTGATTTCGTCTGCCAACAAGTGCACAAATTCAAGAATAGAGAGAGCTCAGACACTAACATCATCGCACGAATACATCTAATACGTTATTCACGTTACGCGTATGCGAGTTGTATATCTTTATGATTCGAGCCAGAAAAGATTATTGACGGTGTTGGTTTCGAAATACAAAATCTGTTTTACATGCCAGACAACGTAGTAACCTAATATTGTACCGCGTTAATCATTTATTTAAGTATGTAAAATTTTATCATTGAGTTAAAATATTTATGGTATTATTCAGTACCCGAGGTGTAAGTTTTGATAACGTTAGGAAGAAACAATAAATTGTAATATAAACCTTCAACCTTATTTGATGAAATGAATTTAAAACACACCAAGTTTAATTTAGTGCATAGCGATAATACAGGAAATTGTTTATATATTTCGATCGTCATTTACTAACCGTGAGCAATTTCCTCCGCAATGTTACGTTTAAACATCCGGCTTCCAAGCACTATATTCATCCTTTTAACGTGAGTAATTGATATTTTAGGTGTATTTTAATAAGAAATAATTAAACTCTGTAAAATTGGAAAGTTGTCGTAAATGTTTGTGTACTTATTAGATTTAATAAAGAAACGAGAAAATAAAAAGGCACCTAATTAAAGTTGTTAATTAAACTTAGAGTTATTAATCAAAATTAATGCTTTTTTTGGAAAAAAATAGTAATTGAGACATCCGTTTAATTAACATTTGAAAAGTTATGTATTTAACGTAGAGATTGAGAAACGAGGGAATTTCTCAATTATAATTGAATGTGAATGGATAGATAATTTTGCCGAACATAAAAAAATAATGAATTGAATTTAAAATAGTAATAAATAAATTATAAATGTGGAAGCATTTAAAATCTTGTTATTATATAAATGGTAATTAAAATTTATTATATTAACCTAATCTTATTATAATATTTAATAGATAATTTATTAGAACGAAAAAAAGAGACAAACTCATTATGTGGTTTCTCAAAAGATATGAATAATTTTTGCAAAATTGTGCCAAATTGATTCTTGCAAAATAAATCTCTCTTCTGATTTCAGGCTACGATTGTGCAAAGAAATGACGTTATATGCAGCTTATTTTCCAAATATTGAGCATGAGTTTCCACATTGCCGAGCCTATCTGAGTTGATAATTCGACAGCCTTTTTCAACAATAACCTAAAATGTTCTTAACGAAATTATGTAAGATGGTATAAAACTTGATTTCACTACTTTAAGACTCAATATGTCAATATAGAACAATTAGAATACGAGATGTGTCATCACCTTAACATCTTAGGCCCTCAGTATAGATAGACCACAAAAATCGAAATTTGTTTCCCAAATTTCATGTTATAATATAAATATGATGTTTGATTTCCGAAGGGTTTGAGCAATAACATCTTCTTCATTTTACTCAGAAATGATTCAATTGTTGAAAGGAAGCAGAATTCGTTGTTTAACCAACCTTAACAAAAGCACATAGCGTTTTGATCAATAATAGATGCTAAAAGTAAATTAATTTTTGTATGCAGAACTGTTCACTTCATACTATATAAAATCTGCAAATTTTCAGAATAATTGGCAATTTAAAATTTGGTTGGAATTTCTGTTTGGACACATATTCTGTGTTGAAAACGCAAAAGAAAAAGCAGTCAACTTTGTCACTAAGTTGTTTGATAAAATTTTGCTGTATTAGATTACAGATTAATTGAACCTTTATGCTGCCTAAATCTACATTGGCGCGAATCTTTTATTAGACACCAGTGCAATATATCAGAAAATCAGAAGAGACAAAGGTTTTGACATCGTAGGATGTCAAAAGAACAATACCTATTTATAGATGAAGAAGATGTTCCATATAAAGCCCTAAGTATCCAAAAGCAAAATAATATATTTGATTTATAACCCTTTGTGGTTATATGATAAATGTAGCCATTACAAATTTTGTATTGCAATGTAAGCTTTATAAACAGTAGCATGTCATAATTCGCTTAGCCGAACCCATACGAAAAAATCAAACTTTTTGATATTGTATGATAACTGATAACTGAAGTTGTACCCCAGAATGAGAAAAACAGTTATCTTGCAACGGCAATGAAACTCTGGGTACAGTTCGGGCAAACCGAGTTTCTGATAACAAATTACAAGCTTTGTGAAAAAAATTGCATCTTATAATAACCAACTTAGATTAAGTAGAGTGGTATGATAACAAAGCGTTGACATTGTTCTCTACATTTGCTTACTGCACAGAAAAGAAGACCAAGTTTACGTTGAATTTTTAAAACACTCTCGTTGATAACAGTAAAAGTCAATAAATTACTTCAAATGTTTTATTTTTTGATTAAACACGACTAGTTTCGGTATTACTCCATCGTCAGGAAAACGTCAGAATAATCATTCCGAACCACTTTATTATCTTGCGACAACATCTTTAATGCCTCAATTAATATATTTTTGGGATTATGTTACTGCAAGTTTATTAGAGATATAAATGGTTTTAATTTCAAAGTTCTTCATAATAGATTGTTTATAATGCGAATTCGATAACTATTACAAATGGGAGAAAAACAATTTTAGCAAACTTTGTAACATCACTACATTAACATATAAATCTGTTAATAAAAGTGCGAAAAGCTAAACACATCGTTTGTTAAATTATGATTATGTTTATTAATCTTAATTTCAGGTAAACAAACGTTGCTAATTAGCATTAATTCATTCAGAATTAATGTAGAACACATCAACATAACGGGGCCACTTATTAATATTATTTTGTTGAATCTTATATGAATAAATAAATTATTTCGACGGGCAGAGTTTCGGTGTTGAAACGTCATCCTCAAAGACATCATCAAAAATAATTACAAACAAAAATGTTAGTTATGGTAAATCTTATTTATGAATCAAATTGAATTTCTAAAAATAAAGCTTTAAATCCAATTACTTTTTTAATTCCCCCTCAATTAAGTCTTTAATCACACACGTTAACATTCCCATATGTAACTTTTCCAATCTGATCTAAATCGCTCGAAATTTCCATCCAATTTAAGTTAGATTTCTCGTTTCGAATTTACTATCTTTTGGCATGTCAAGAGGAAATTCCTGCTGGGGTTATATAGCGTGCCCAGGGCCAATCGGAGAGGCCCGTTCCGGCGGCGAAATCAATTATTTCGGCAATAAGTTAACCGGCCCCCCTTCATTCGTTCGTTTTAATCAAAAGAGACCCTCTTTTCTTACCTCGCAAACACATGCAACTTGTTCCTGCGTAAAACCGAAACTCGGCAGGGGACTGTTCCGGGGCGGAGGACTGTATGGGGGTGTGGCTCCGGATCCTGGAGTACCGTAGCCCAACCCTGCTGACAACATAGCACACGAAAAAGAAAAACCAAAATCACCCCAAAAAAATATTTTTGATCTTCTTTTCCAAAAAAAAATGTATGATTTTTTCTGGTAAATTAGATTCTTGGAATTTAAAGTTTAACACATTTTAATAATCACTATTTTTAATTTATAAAGTTTTAAATAAAAAGAAATAAATAATAACACTCTGAAATTCTTGGGTTTTAATGCAAATTTAAATCACTATTTCGAAGAATTTTAAGTTCACTTAAATACACATGTTTAAAAAAGTAACTCAAAAAAATTAAAATTATTTTGTTACGAAGTTATTGCAAGTTCTTGTTTGTTAAAGTTCTAATAGTTGGAATTCGAACAAACAACATCCACACACGGACACGTTTATGAATCGACTGGCCAACTCCGGGGTCGGAGCTGTGTATTAGAAAGGGAGAAGGCGTGGTTTTTGGGGCCCCGGCAGGAAAAAGAGGCGTAGCCCCCAAGGTAAACTCCAATTGGAGGAGAACTTGTAGAGGAGCAAAACGCAGCAGGACATAATGAGAGGTGCTAATTCGTTGGTACAACACACGTAAAACCTGATGACTAAAGAAATCCAGAAATTAATCTCATCTTGTTGCTTTCAAAACTTCCTTTTTTTTTGATTCATCGTTGTTTCATTAAACTTACTTCACCAAATTTATTATGCCAAATTCTTTTTTACAAAACCTCATTTTTATTAATTTGTTGATTGGTGTGAATTGGTGGTTTTTGAGATGTAATTGGTTTTTTGGAGGGAAGGGTATTGTAATTTATGGCAGGCGTGGTTTAAGTGGTGGAAAGCACGAGGTGGAAACTTCAAGTTGATGATGATCAAATTGAAAATTGGTTTTGCGGTTGTTGGGTTGGGTTGGGTATATTTGCGGAATTAAATGGTATGGGTAAAGAGGGGAGTTTGTTAACAGTTTATTTATGAGGTTTGATGGTAAATTGATGAGAAGTGAATTTATTGCCAATTAACTGGAAAATTAAAATTATAATTGTTTTTTTGTTGTTGTTATTAATATAGCAGAAAGATATTTCTATTTAAGAATTAACCTCTTAATAATCTTGAAAGAAACTTGTAAAAGTTGTTTTCTGGAATTTGGCCAACCCAAATCAATGTTGTTAATCAAATTTATATTCCAATGATAAATATGACTTCCAACCCTTATATGTATGACATTCTAAATCTTCATAAAAAAACATGTCGTTGTATACATCTTAATTTAGACCAAAAAGAAAATAATGATATAAAGGTATAGTTTTTGTATTCATTTTCGTTTGGACATTTATATTCAAAAGGGCTACTACATGGTAGTGGTGCCTTCTGGTTGTTGATGCGGCCCCTTATTCTAAAAGGTAGACACAACAAGGTCGGCAAATTCGTTCCATTGTGCCCCTGTACGATCCGTCAGTGAAGAGGACGTGGGTTTATAGGATTAGGGAAACCGCATTATCCCCTATTATACTACCCCGCGACTATTTCTCACGAGCGCATAACAAGATCTCTTTATTATTGTTATTACTGTACCCACGTCAAGTGTTCCTAGCCCCTACAATATAAGGGAACTTGTGATTTGCCCCCTTTTCATTTTTTTCTTCATCATCTCCCTCAAGAAAATTAAAATGATTATTTGTTTTTTTTATTTTAGTATTTGAATTAGAAAAACTAGTTAATTCTTTCCAATTCTTTAGTACGAGATCCCCTGAGGATGACATAATCAGTCGAAACATGTATAAACAAAGAAATTATAACAATTTTGATTCCTTTTTTGTAAGAAAGAAAAGTTATATCAATATTAATACTTAACGAATCGCGTGAGGTTAAATTGCACGATTGTACCAAGCTCATGTATTAACCAGGCGTGGAGAAAACCCTACATTTAAACATAATCAGGGTTTGCAAAATTTGCATTACAAACCTAAGTAAAATGATATTTTAAACCCCAAGGTTGACAGTTAACCATAGAGGTGAAATCAGGGATAATTTAAGAAATTGCTATTGATGGCAGAAAAATCCTCTTCGACCTACAAGAAAATCACAAATTTGATGTGGAGAACGAACCAATTCCAGCAAAAACAGAAGACAGCCCAAAGGTAATCCAAGAGAAAGCAATTTCAGAAGAAAACAAGAAATAGAAGAAATAGAAAATTGGTCAAAATAATGAGGGATGCATGAAAAGCAAGGAGGTGAAGAGCAGATCAAAAGGAACAAGAAAGATAAAGAATGTCAATCGGAGTCAAAAAACAAAACATATCTTATTATGATGAAAACAAAATAACCCGTACAGACTTAAAATTATTGCAAAATATATTAATATTAAATTCAAACTATAAATCGAAGAAACAGAACATCACACTTACCAACTCATGCGAAGAAGAAGATTTTGCCATAAAAAAATTTCCTCGAAAGAAAGAGCTACAGATAGACGAGAAAAGCTAGCAAAATTCCTGCAAACATTAGCAGATGTATACAAAAAATGTATCAATTGGAACGGAGAAAAAATCAAAGAAGGAGACAGAAGGAGAAATAATACCTAACACTTTACAGATTTTATCTTGATAGGTATAATAGAAAAAAAAAACTGTATACAATAATATTAATAATAACTTGAACTATACATAACTTCATCGAGAATATTTCTCCAAATATAAAATTGTCATAATGTTACTGAACATAGAGATGCTAGAACGAAGAACAGCCATAACTAAAACAAATAGAGTGTATTAGTACAGAAACGAAAATAAAAGAAACAATGATATTGTTAGAAGAGGAGTTGAAAAGACTAGAAGTAGACGACAAAATGGCCTTAATAGGAGATATTTTAACGTTCACCACACGTGTTGGGCAGGAAAACAACAAAATCAAATAATGAATCAAAGAAGACATTATAAACATTTCGATAGTAAAGAACTAATAATGAGAAACAAGTCGATGTCAACTTAAATATGAATTATGCGGCCGTCGGAATGACGCTCGGACATATTCAGAGATGTATTAGATACAAATACAACCACGACAAGGTAAAATAGTAATGGGGAACAAATATTAAAAAATTGGCAAAGGATAACTAATTTACGGATAGAAATAAAAAAATACAGAAGAAATAAAACAAAATGTAGAAACTTCCGGATTATGCATCTACTAAAACATTGACATTTTGGATGCTATGTTGCAATCTTCTTCAGAAACAAGTTTAAAAGTAGTCGGTTCAAAGCTGGTAACATGCACTATAGTACGTAACTATTAATTAATTACTGTACATCAATTACCAGTAATATCTTCCAGATTTGGCTGAGCTTCATACCACTCTTTCTATTCTTGTTAATGTTCTGGGGATAAATTTGTCTGATCATCCCTAATATAATATCCTCTGTTACAGATGAATATTTGTTTGACGTGTCCATCATTAAATTGAGTTTTTTAATGTGCATTAAAGTGAAATAAATAATTGGAGATCCCGAGGATTCAAATATGTATATTGATATGAATCGAAGGATTTCAGATTTGCAACCGTATTGCCTACTTGTGTATTGGACAACATCTACATGTTATTCAACGATCAACTTATTGAAGATGTCGGAGTATATTGGAGGATGCTCAAGCTTAGATAAAGAAAATTGTTGATTATTGAATACGCAACTAGTAGATCTGTAGAATTGTTGATAACGAACCTAAAGAAATCAGACTATTTTTATGTGACCATAACGAAGTCCGTCCAGATTATTGTCTTATATTTCAACAGCCAAAAGCAATGTTGATCACTAAATGTTTTGCGCTTATATTTTCCTTTTTAACGTTTTTTTTTGTGGATTACCTAAGACGAATGCAGGAAAAACTTAATCACATACCTTCTCTTGGGTTATATCCTGAGAATTTGCTTTAGTAGGATATTTTTGCCCAGAATATCAGAGAGATTTGATTGTTGCTGAATTTACAGAGTCTTCAAAACAGTTACAGTTGTGGGCTACGCAATTCTTTTATTGAGTAGGTAGTGTACGTATTGAGGAAGCAATAAGTTAGTTTAATAAGACAATAATGCTTAACATTCCATAATTTCAGTAACAAAAAACAGAAACTATACAACTCTGCGTTTACCAGATCCTTCATGTGCATTGATGGCAATACATAACATGTGCAGGACAAGTTTTGCGATGTTGTCGAGTTTTAGAAAATATTACCTCCAGACCGGCATATTTCATGGATAATCCATTTTTACAATGTTATAACAACTGTTTAAATATGCTAGTACAGAATTTTTGATTTTTGAAGCTTCTTGCTAATGTTACAACAGAAACAATTAAAGTTTGATGATATTTGTGATATAATGCTTACGATATCTAGCTTCTATGATTGCGCTAAAGTAGATTCTACAAAGTTACAAGTTGACGTTTCGCAGCAAAGACGAACATCGTTTTAATATATCGCAAACCGGTGATTTCGAGTAATTCAGAATTATTGAAATTTTAAACATTTGTTTTGATTTCAGAAGAATTTGCTTTACGATTACACAATCATGTCTATTTTACGATTTAAGCAGACTCTATCAGTCCTGTTAAGTTATTGTAGAGGCGTTCCTATTTAAAATAGGAAACACTTTTTTTATATTTGTAATATTTTTTTCATATTTTTTTAATGTTTTTATTTTGTATTCAGGAAAGCACATCATCTTTGTAAGGAGATTCTCCCCGACGAATAAGATCTATTAATTTTGAACGTACTTAAACGTACTAAACTGTTCAGTATCAATTCTATTAAGCAATCAATTCTAAAATTATAAGTTGCATTAAACAATTAAATTCGTTGAAATACCGTCTGAAAGAAGTAGTTTTCACTTTTACAGAGATGTCGCAGATGTATTAAGATATATTCTCTAAGCTTTTAAATAGAGCAGAATTTTCATTATTGTTGTGTTCCATTAAACAAGTAACAATATTCTACACGGTAAAAAATAACTAACTCTATTTTAAATCTAAATATTTTAATCGGTTGTTAGAGCAAATTTTATAGATTAAATGAATCTATGGTAAAGTGAATTATTAACTCTAAGATGAGTGAACACAGATTGCATATTAAATCTCGGCAGAGTTGAAATTATAATCTATACAGATTTATTATGATGCACACGAAATTACTGTTTGGTATATTCTTAATAGAATGATACAATCTACGTAGATTTATACTCAAAATTAGGTATGTTTTAAATAGAGTTATAAGAAAATAGACAGTGTGCACAAAATAGGTTTATTATTGTAAAAACTGAACAATCGAATAAATAATTGCTTTTATGCTATCTTAAGATATACTAAGTTGCTATATTTAAGTAAGCATACTGAAATTATAAAACAAAATCATATGGAAGTGTCATTTTTAAT